CTCTCGGCCGAGAGGTAAATCCCTCTCGTCAACAATCTGAAGTCAAAGACCAAGAGGTAAATCTCTCTCGCCAACAATCTAAAGTCAGAAACCGAGGGTAAATTCCTCTTAGCCGAGAGGTAACCCCTCTCGTCGGCTAGAAAGCTGATAACAAAGACCGAGAGATAAATCCCTCTCGACCGAGAGGTAAATTCCTTTGAACCAGAAGGCTAAAAATAAAGACCAAGAGAACATTAGCATGGCCCCTGCACAAGGACCACCACGTTGAACGTCACTATGAAGTCCTATAATTAACCCGTCCATAAAACCGAACGGTTAACTCGGACTTGGGGAACATTATGTATAGTATGATATTTAAACTGAACGGTTAGCATCCGAGATCGATCGATCTATCTCTTGTAGCAGCAACATGTCACGAAACATTTAAAGTTCCATATAAAAATAAATTATATTTGAAAAAAACATCTCAAACACATTCAAGAGATTATACCGTAGAGAAATTTTTAAATTAATAGAAAAAGAGGGTTGAAATTTTCAACATTAATTAAAAATACTTAATTTGATAAATTAAAAAGAAACATTAATAATTTATAAATTTTTAATAACTTGCAAAATCTGACAAATCTAAATTTTATTACTTCTTCTTAAATTTGAGAATAATCTGACCTATGATTAAAATTAATATAAAATAAAATTTAATTGATATTATTGGTAGTATTAATACTATTATTGTTAGTTTTAGTATTATTATTATTATTATCATTATTGTCAATATTGTTATAGTAATAATAATAATTATTATTATTATTATTGATTTTATTATTCTAATTATTTTTATTAATATAATTATTGTTACTATTATTATTATTAATTATTTACAAGTTTTAATAATAATAATAATAATTATTATTAATTATTTTTCAATATTAATTTAACAATTAACATTAATAATGTTATTGTGTTATTATTATTAATATTATTATTATTATTAATTATTCACAAGGTTGAATTATAATTATTAATTATTTTTCAATAGTTTAAATTCTACCGTTAACATCAATGCTGTTGCTATTATTATTATTATTATTATTATTATTATTATTATTATTATTATTATTATTATTATTATTATTATTATTATTATTATTATTAAAAAAGAAGGAGGACACATTGATGTAAAAGTTATGAATAAATATGTATATTTTGTTTCTTAATCTCTTTATTTAACGAAGGAATAAAAATCTTAGGATCTTTCTTAAATCGATTTTCTCAAATCGGCTTGAATTCCTTGAAACAAAAATATGCACATTCTCTCTTCCTTGCGAAGAGTTCATCTGTTAACGCAAAAAGAAGATAAGAGTTTCATTTTAGATTTTAGATTATAGATTATATATATGATGACTTTATTGTTATTATTACGTCCCTATAAAATGTTATTACATAAAGAATGATTGTCATCACTGAAAACGATTGAGGCGAATTTGGAAGAACTGAAAGCATGCGAAATTAGTTATATAATCCAAAAATTTAAAGATTAATAAAATTGTATTATTAATTAAATATTTTACATTGAAAGATATTATAAGTTTCTGATTTAATTTAAATTGAACTATTTTTCTATATTAATCACATTTGTTTTTTTAATCTTTGCTAACCCGGTGTAGTTTTATCACTTTTCACAATTGAGAAAACTAACTTTACAAAATTGAGGTTTGTACTTTTATAATTCTTTATAATAAACCCAAACACAGTAAGCCTAACCGAATAAGCTTTGACTGATATTTACCTCAATCTTTTGACCTGTATCTCTTTTGTTCTATTAGCACTCACAAAAATCGGATATGAAAATTCGTAAAAAAAAAGAGAAATGATCGAATTTTAAAATTGATAATTAAAAAAACACATGTAATCATGGTTGCAAAATTTGATAATTGAATTTCAAAATTTAATTTCTAAAAAATCAGAAGAAAATTTTGAAATTTGAACAAATTCAAAATGATTACTAAATGATTTATGGAAAAATCCAAAATAAAAATTTCAAAATTTAAGAAAATTTCAGAAATGGATTTCCAAATCCAAAAAAACACAACACTAGATTTCGAAATTTGAAAAACCCAAAGTCAAATTTCGAAATGCAATTCGTAAAAATCCAGATCAGAATTTCAAAATTCAGGTAAATTTTAAAACTAAATTTATGAAATCTTGTGAAATACAAAAATTAGATTTCAAAATCCAATTCTGGAAAATGTAAAATTAGATTTTGAAATCCAGTTAAAACAGAATCAGATTTCAAAATCAGAGAAAATCAGAACGTATTTTGAAATTCATGAAAATACAGAACTAGATTTGAAATATAAAAAAATCCAACACCAAATTTCAAAATCTAGTTTCTAAAAATTCAGAACTAGATTTTAAAATCCAGAAAAATTAAAAATTGAATTTCGATATTCAAAAAAATCCATAATCAATGTTTTAAAATTTGAAATATTCAGAACTAGAATTTTAAAATCCAAAAAATTAAAAAATTAAAGAAATTCTGAAACCAAATTTTGAAATCTATAACATACATATTAATTGGTAGGGTTATAAAAGAAGGATGTGGGGTGCATAAAGAAAGCCCCAAGTGTGACAGTATAATATGTCTATGGAAAACAGGAAAAGGGAAATAGGCCACGCATGTTGGGGTTGTAAAATGTCAAGAGAGTTGCTACCCTCCACCACCCAACCGTCCTGCACCTCCCATACCTTATTTGCCCTTCTATAAAACGGATGTCAACATCCGTTTCACCTTCAACGGATTTGACATCCGTAACATCCATGACATTTTTATATTTTAGTTATTATTGTTTATTTAAAAAAAAAAAAACTTCAAGTCGGATGTGGCACATCCAACGGAGGCACATGGGCCTTAAGCGAAAGATTTGAGAAAAAGGTTTGGATTGATATGGAAAGAAGACGAGATAAAGGAAAAGAAGAAGAAGAGTGGAGAAAGAAAAGAAAAGGAAGGAGAAATGAGAAAGAAGAGGGGGAAAAAAATAAATAATATATAAGGGTAGAAGAAGTATAATAAAAAGTAAAAAAACTAAAAACGTAAAAAAAACAAAAAAAAGGCAACGGATGTCGCCACATCCGTAAACGGAGTGTGGCACATCCGTTTTAAATATTTATAACAAATTTTTTAATTAGGTATTTAAATAATTATACATAAATGTAAAAATTATTATTAGTTATTTATTAAGATAAAATAAATAAAATAAATGATTAAAAGTAAGTGAATTAAATTTTTAAAATATTAAATTATATTTATATATGTAATTTAAAACAAAAAAAATAAAAAAACTAAACTAAAAAAAAAAAACAACGGATGTCGCCACATCCGTTAAAGGATGTGGAACACATCGTGTAATGATATTTATAAAAGTTTGAATGAGGTATTTAAATATAATACATAAATGAAAATAAGTAAAAGTAGTGTTTAGTAATATAAATAGAAATTATAGTAAATAATAAGTAAGTAATTTTAAAAGTAGGTAATAATATTTATATATTAATTTAAAACAAAAAAAAATAAAAAAAACTAAAAACTAAAAAACAAAAAAAGGCAACGGATATCGTCACATCCGTTAACGGATGTAGCATCGTGGAAGAAAATTTTGTCTTCAAGGATGTTGACATCCGTGAAGAGAAAGGGTGGGAGTTGTAGGATATTTTTAAAATTAAAGGATAGTTTTGGAATTTTAAAAAAATGTGGTGGTGGAGGGGGGAGCAAAGTGGGGGTGTGGTGTAGGAGTAACCCCCAATGTTCAAAGGAACAGTCTTGCGCAAAACAAGGCCCCGACCGATGTGTTTTTCTCACCCTGTATTTATTAAGTTCGCCTCCAACTTTCTGAAATGTAAGAAAACTGCTAAAACCAACTCATTGAAATATATTTTATTTTAGTTTTTATGCGGACACAAATATAAATAAAAACAAATAATTTTAAACTGAATAAGAAAATAGTTGACATGATTTTATTTTATTTTTTAATTAAAAAGTAATTCATTGTCTCAGAATAAATGTCTTATAAGAAGAAAAAACAAGTGTTATTTTATCTTTTCAATGTAATTATTTTTTTCATTTATACATCTAACAATACTATCCAAGCAAAAACATCTATAAATAAATGAATTACAATTAGATAAGTTTTTTAAATTGCTATTTTTCATCCATTTATTACTTTACTTGATTTATACTTTGGGAAATATATTTAACTGTAGAGAGACTGCGTAATATTATCAAATTTAGTTTAGTTGTGTATATAAACAATATAATTCCATATATAGATTATATACTCTAAATTTTCTGTATTTTTAGTCGACGTGACTTCTTGAATCGTAGAATTGATAGGCTTCTTCCAACTATCCGTTATTTAATACTTCTGTTTCAAAGTTAATTCCTCTTCTTTGAAGCATTACATGAGCAGTAATGGCATCGTGGTGGCAAGCAAGAAGACCTGTGCCACTATCTTTACTTTCAACCAACCCAACCCAACAAATCACAACCCTAACGCACGTGCCCCGTGTCACACACCACACCAACACCATCATTCATCTCAATATCTTCCTTATATTTCTTTCCAAACACATCACAGATATAAATTACAGTGAATGGATGGATCAAAAACAATATTTTAAACAACTTTAACCATGAAAAGAATAATTTCTTTGTCCGTATTAATTATTTGGCAGCATGGTCGGTTTTAGCTTTCTTAAAGTCAAGATCAAAAAGGGTAAAAAAACTGAAAATAATTTGAAAAGGTTAAGGAAAAAAAAACAATAGTTATGCAGCGGTAAATAAATATGGATGTGCATCCAATTGGATGGTTGAAAGTGGAAAGACAGACAGGAACCGGTGACTTGATAATTCACGTATTTCATTTATTTATTTATTTTATTATTTTTTCTGCGTTATAAAGAAATGATAAAACCTAGAAAAAGAAGAGAAAATTGTAAGTGGAAGAAGAGAAAGTGGCATCGCATAGGTACAGATACAGACACAACCCGGTAAAAACCCCATCCTAGTGCCACACGATTTTCTCTTTCTTCCTCTCTCTCTCTCTCTTTCTCTCTCTGGCGGAGGTTAGGGTTTCTTTCTTCGTTCATTTTTTTCAGTGTTTACTTTAGTTCTGCTATTTATCGTTAATTTATCGCTGTTTTATCGTTCCGACCCAATCCACCTTCAATTTATCGCTTCGTTTTGTTTTTGACTTGCTTTGACTTTATTTTTCTCACCTTCGAGTATCCGAATCTTTGTGCATCCTCTTATTTTGGTTCTTCTCTTAAGTATTTGCTCGCGTTCGCTGCAATTGCTTCTTCTAGATTTTATTTTTTTTGTCTATAGTTCTAGCCTTCCAGCTTTTAGTTCGGGTGCGACGTTTCGCTGTGTCGGAATCTGTTGTTGGTTCAAAATTTGGATCTTCAACCGCTTGAGATCCAGGAGCCGTGGCTTTAAAAAAATTGTACGGAAATGAGCTTCAGTTTTGTTATTTATTGACCCCTCCGGATATAAGGAGGGGTTGTGGTAATAGATTTAGCTCTGCTTTTTTGCATAAGTTTCCTGAGAAGAAAATTAAAACCAAAATTAGCTTTTACAGAAATTAAATGAGAGGCCTTTTATGAAAGGGTAAGCGTCTAATTTGATTTTAGATATTTTTTATGATGGGTAGTTTATTTAAGTTAATTGGGCAAACTTCATTTATTTTACTTTTTTTTTTACATAAACATTTATTCAGAATTCTGTCTTAACAAGTACTGCTACTGGCCCATGGGAACAGCTAGTAACGAGTGTTTTGGGTAGTTTCTCTTTGATACTTAGATTTCATTTGGTCATGATATTCAGCTATATATACATTCACTGAATGTAGTCAGGAGGAATATAGTTTTGGGTAGTAAAAAGAATGTCATCCGCCTGGCTCTTAATTGATATTAAGTTATCCATCAGGTCATAAATGCGATAGTCTTTTTTAAAAAAAACTTGCAGTTTTTGCTGTACTTAATCGTATCCAAATATGAGTCCCTGAATGATCACTTCTTTACCTTATTTCCTTTTGCGGTATCTTCCACTGTAGTTTTCCATTTTTATTCAGTTTTCACGTTGCACTGGAGTGCTGGATTGTTTATAAAGAATTTTTTGTGTGGGTCTTTGCTTGACTCGTATTAGATCAGGACGTTGTTATGTCTCCGTTACCCATGTTTATCTTAGACCTTTTAATTAACAATCAACACAGGATATTTTTGGATTTTGGATGAAAATTATGTTACGGTTCAGAACAGTGATTTTAAAACTTGCTTTTCTGTCAAATAATATTGGGTTTAGGAGTTTGGCCTTCCTGTCTTGAAAGTACTGCTCGAAGAGGAGGACCTTGATCATATGGTTGTCATCTTCCTGTCTTGAAAGTACTACAATCACACTAAGATTCTTTCTATCCACTCATTTTATCTCTTCCCTTGCCCCCAACATTCTTTAACTTTCTTCATTTGTTCTACCTTAATTTTTCTTTTCGGTTTCTATGGAAGCTCTAAAATAATAATAATAATGATGACTAATAACTTTGATATGATATTGTGCTAAATTCTGGAACTTCAGTATTTTTCTATTGTAATTGCTGTGGTAATTGCTTACATCGTGGCTACTATTGGTGTAGCTGTGGTAAGCCTGCTTACTACATCATTACCATGTCTGCCATTCATATCCAACTGTTCCATTATTTCCTTTTAAGGTTTTTGGAAACTTCTAACTGTCTTTTATGCTTAAATGCAAGTATTTTGATCATACATGAAGACCAATAGACTTCCCCTGCGTTGCTAAAGTTTCCCTGCACTATTTTTATCCCAGATTTTCGTGTAGCTGAATATTCTAGTCTTTTATAAAGCCGCAGTTGTTTGTAAGTTTCATTCATTATTGTTTGTGAACTTACCTAGTTTACATTCTTGTGTAGGTTTACTTTTGATCAAGTACCTGCTATCCCTATGTATAAGCATGGTAAGTATTTTAAATTTTGCGACATCCGTTCTTCATGGGAATTGTTGATAGAGTGATTCCTTCCTACCCAATGCACTTCAACCTAAGAAAGAAGAGGACAAAACAGATACACGGACTATCTCAAGTTGCCAATATAAACTGAAAAATTCCTATGAATGCAGGATTTCTGGCATACTGTTGTTTGATCAAGCAGGTTCCGTATTGGTTGAGGAAGCCTAGACTCAATATTTAGTTATTGCAACCGGTTGTGTTTCTGATGGATGATGCTGGGCATCGTGAAAACGGTAGGCACAAAGCAGATCAATATAAATCTGCTCAAGGACAGGTATTAAAATACATTTATTTATGTTCATGTATAAATTCATCAACAAATTTACTATTCTATTTTGCACAAACAAACAATTGGTAACTGCAATGCGTTCTCTCTGTTAAGATGCTGACTTTGGTAATATTTATGTTGATGTTGCGTTGCAGTGGCTGATGCAACATCAGCCTTCCATGAAGCAGATCATGGCAATTATGGCCGAAAGAGATGCAGCCATCCAAGAAAGAAATCTGGCCATTTCTGAGAAGAAGGCAGCATATGCTGAGCGTGACATGGCATTTCTGCAGCGGGATGCTGCAATTGCAGAACGAAATAATGCAATTTTGGAACGAGACAATGCAATTGCAACTCTTCAGTATCGAGAAACCTCGATAGGTAGTGGCAGTATGTCATCATGTCCTCCGGGATGCCAAATTTCACGTGGTGTCAAGCATATACATCATCCCCAGCAACAGGTACACCATATACCTAACATGGGTGATCCTTCTTACAGCACACGGGAAATGCACACAACCGATGCCCTCCCTGCAGCTCCCATCACTTCTGAGGCTGGGAAATCAAGGCGGGCCAAGCGGCCCAAGGAACCAAAGTCAACTTCACCTAATAAGAAGACTCCAAAAGCAGCAAAAAAAGTCAAAAAGGAGAGTGAAGACTTGAATAAGGTTATGTTTGGCAAAGCACATGAGTGGAAAAATGGTCAGGAAATGGTCAACGGAGGCGATGATCTTAACAAGCAGTTAGTAGTGTCTAAGGCTGATTGGAAAGGTCAGGACTTGGGATTGAACCAAGTGGCTTATGATGAGTCAACCATGCCAGCGCCTGTATGTTCTTGTACCGGTGTCCTGAAGCAGTGTTACAAATGGGGCAATGGAGGTTGGCAGTCTGCCTGTTGCACAACCACTCTGTCAATGTATCCACTTCCTGCAGTGCCAAACAAGAGGCATGCTCGTGTTGGAGGTCGGAAGATGAGTGGTAGCGCTTTCAACAAGCTGCTCAGTCGCCTTGCCGCAGAAGGTCACGATCTGTCAAACCCTGTTGACCTCAAAGACCATTGGGCCAAACACGGGACGAACCGATACATTACAATAAAATAGATGGTGAGAAATTGTTTCTGGAGCAGCATTGCATGATTAGAAACAGCTTTTAGTGATCAATTATGGATTATCGAGTCGAGCGAGGGAAATAATGTTAAGTGTAAAGGTTATCTGGGAAAGCTTAATGGTTACAGTATGCCTGTACCTATATTTAGAATGCGTAATGGTGCTAGATGTTGGCTAAATGAAGGGGTTGAAGACATGACTAAGTAATCAGTCATCCTTACCATTTTTACGCATTTAGTCTCCTGAGATTTTCTGGTGGCACCCATGGCAAGTGTAAAATGTCTACATGGTGGATAAATAGTTGTTAGATAGTCTTGATTAATCCATGTAGCTCTTAAACCCGAAATATTGTAGACTCGTGCCCTCAGTCATCCTGGAAAACCTAATCTGGTTAGTATGTAAATCGACTATGTATGTTAATTGTATCCCTGTTTCACGTTTGAATCTTATCTATGACTACGAGTTTAGTTTTTATCGATAATTGTTACAGGAGGAAGCGAACATGGAGCAGACGGCTGACGTCTATTTGGGTTACCTGGCTCTCTTGACTTGATTAAGGAATGTATGGCATTGCCGGGTTTCACTTCCCAATTTTTATTTTGGATTTTTGGTATTTTAAAATAATAATTTTTATCAACTTTAATATAGCACTTGTCAAATACATATACACGCCTCATATTCATGGAATCTTTATATACAAAACAAATGCTTTCATATTTTTCTCCGTTTTAAAAATCTTCTGTGTAAAGTTTAGTTTGTAATTTACACAATTTTCTCTTAAATGCTTATCTTATGTCTTCGCTTAAATTTATTCAATTTAGATTACAAATTCTCAGCAGCCACTAATCTGCCAGGGATTAACTGTAAAACGATTGTTATCGTCGTCCACAGTAGTACTGTCTAGATTCCAAACTAAAATGTGTAACATTCCAAAAATACAGTGTAAAATCATATATGAGAATCATCACATATTAACAATATTACAGATCAGTTCTACATAGAACAAGATACTATTATGGCCGAACGGCCTTACATAATAACAAGGAATTTAAAAACGTACGCTAGCTACTACTAGACTGAATGGTGTACAAAATAAATTATACCGAACGGTCTTACAACATATAAAGCTAATAACAGACCGAACGTCCCTAAGGTTCGGTCTTCACATCTGCCACGTCTTCCAATATTTCTTCCAGCAGCTCTTCTCCTTCTGCTCACATCCACACGGATGATCATTGCAACAGGACAGCGACAGGACGCACAACACAGACAAAAATAATAAATAGGGTAAGCTTATGTATTTAATTTATTCAATCACAACATACAACATTCATAACAAAAGCAACAACAACCACATCATAATTCATACATCCATGCATGCAAATAACGACCACATGACTCTGATTGTCCGGACTGCATGAATCCTTTGTAGCTATGACGTTCGTGCACCCGGGTGATGTAGTAACTGGGATACCCTCAACAGCTGCCACCCGAGGTTGATCCGTTTCGTTCAAGTTAACCTTATGGATTAGGACCTCCTGTCATTCCCACACGTGACTTACTCCTCTCTACATGATAACGAGTAATCATGGAATATCAGGATGAACGCCCGCTAAGTTTTGCCCACATTCATAATTTACCAATCAATAATCACTTCTGAGATATTCCTCCCTGTAATACTCGTTCATAAATCAACTTTCATACACATCACATCTTAATTTTCCACATACTTAATCATCCATACATTCAAATGAAAATAAGATCATACGCTCTTATCATAGCCCAAGTACGACTCGAAAACGCTTCTTAGAAACTAACCAGACTCAACACTACTCATCTACTTTAATAAACAAACTCTTAAGAGTTCAAACCGGACGCCACGTAGCCTAGGCCAAGTACTAAGACTCTAGGCCGAACACCTTTTAAAGACCCAGCGCTTGATTTAAGACCGAGCCTTGTGGAAACCGAACACTTTTGAACGAGCACAGGTCCAAGACCAAGTGCTTATCAGGAACGAGCGCTACTGAAACTGAAAGATTGGTCCAAGACCGATCGCTAATAAACTCACAGAAAACGAATGAATATATATATATAATATATATTATATATATATATATATATATATATATATTATATATATATATATATATATGCAATTGAGCCACCACTTATTCTGAATAAAAAGAACGATAACGTCTACGACCTTGAGTAGTATATGACACGTTAACTAAACTGTTCAGGACGTCTAAAGGAGAACTACATTTAGGCTGACCACTCATATTTACATTCTAATATTATAACACGATCGTTGTTACCGTAATTCCTTGTATAAGAGAACCTAATATAGACGAACGCTCGACCAGATTACCACCTTTACTCAAAATACTACAGTTGACGATCATCCCTATCTCAACTCAATTCACCACATGCATCATTCATCCATCAACACGTCCAAACAAGCAGTACACACATATCTCATATTCATCAAATAATCAAACAATGTATCATGCAAACATGCCAACATTCAAACAAGAATTTAAATCAAATTATATAAGTCTCCCTTACCTCTAAGCGTGACCGAACGTTCACAATTTGAACAGAATAGCTTAACACCAATCTCCTTAGAAGATACGATCACAATTTACGAAACTAACCAAATGAAAGACCAGGAAGGCGTTCAGAAATGGGTTAAGGAACTCAGGTAACCGAAAACTGAGTTTGCATGTACAAAAAAACCACTTGGCTGAGAGAGATGAACTTACCGGTCCAGAATCCAAAACTGATCGGTTCAAAAGAACGCCCTCGACGTCGGGAGTGTTCAAACGGTGCCTGAGAGGTGATCGGAAGAAGAAATGGTGAGGTTTTCTTAGAGAGAATGAGGAGATTTTAGAGAGAAGAAGGAGAAAATGGTTTCAGCAGGGTGGGGAAGAAGAAAGGCATGCAGAGAAGTGACACAACATTTGAATTTTTTTTTTTAATACTGCCGTCGCCCAAAACGAACGACCACTCCCTTGTAGTCAGCTGTTTTCCACTAACTGAGACGCTCACTCACTTCTTGGCACATGGATCCCACTACTTGGAATTTTTGGGTGTGTTTTAACGGGTCTGACAAAATGCATTTGGGGTCTGTAGATGAAGGGGTCTGTAGATGAATGGGTCTGCAGATGAAGGTGGAAGAATGAAAAAAGTTCTGATCAAGCTATTTGCATTTCAGCCAAACGAAAGACTTTCATCATTGGCCATAAAAGGTAGACGTGGATTATCTCGTTCTTAACAAACACCATCTTTAGTTTTGGAAATTCGTAATCATAATCCAAGCATTGCTATAATCAATCACAATAAATGGGTGTCATCCATGAGAGTATAATAATAAACATACATTAAAAAAGAGGATCGCTTTCCAAACCAAGATTTGAGATTGGGATTAGATCTTCCTACTCAATGACGATTTATTACACCCAAATCAAAGTTTGGGCTCTCAACGAAATCGAAGAAATTGAAAATTATCGGTGAATTGACTCTACTTGATTTAAGATTTTTTTGAGCAATATTACCAATAATCATGTTTTCCCCGAGTATATTACTACATCATTGGATAAGAATGTGCTATTTTCATATTCCACCGACAGTCTATTAACAGTATGTGAAAATTTGAATCCTCACATTGTTTTGCCCTAATGCTGTGTTTTTCATATTGTATTTATTGAGTGTGTTAACCCTTTGAGTTTGCATATAAAGATTCCAATACTGTAATTACTTTATTTGTACTCTTTTTCCATCGATATGGTCACTTGGTATTTATAAAAAAACTGACTAATCATTACCCTTTACTTGATGAAGGGTTCCTATTAATATGGATGTGTGTATATTGTATTAAAAGGGAATAGGGAAAATCATGTTGCCTACTTTAACCTTGTATGCATCTAAAATATCCTATATGTCCTTCATTAGAGCGTTATAGATTTTGAAGTTAGTATTAGTAGTTTTAAATTTTTTGTCTAAATATTTGGTCACACATACATTTACATACAAAACTTTAAGATTAAGATGACTAAATATGTCATATTTATTTCATGTTTGTCTTCGTTAAAAAATAGACTTTTAAGTTAATAAAATGGTAGAATAGTGAATAGACTCTGATCTATTTCTCTAATAATATATTAAAAAATAAATTTTAAGATGAAGTTTGTATTTATTTATACACTTTAATATGATCTTATTAATGTAAAACTTTAAAAACATTTGTTTTTGATATTTTTTAATTACACTTTGAAATTAGAATGAAGCATACAAGTTGGAGCAGAATTTGACGAAAAATCTTTACAAATTTGATTTTATACAATCTTCGATCTTATGTAAGTTTGAAATTACGTTTTAATTTATGTGGTTTTCAAGTGACGTAAATAATATATTTGGAAAAAATATGTTCTCATTTTACTATAACTAATACTTAAAAACTACCTATTAATCACACATTTGTATTATGATGTCAATTTTTGTAATCATGGAATCTATACAAAGACGACGGTGTTAACTAACTGCAGTTTTAGAAAATACATCAAGCATGCAAAAGTAGTAAAATTAAAAAATTGAGTTTCACTTATTATTTTGTGGTTAATATCTGGATCATTGCGAACAAACAAAATTGTAATTTTAAAATTATTTATTTAAACTTTATCAATGACAAAAGAATTGAACACTTTATATGTATGTGTAAATATATAAGGCCTTCTCTTTTGAATGAATTTTGAGGAAATTTGAGAGGATTTGAAGATAAATTTTTTTATCGTTTATTTGAGTGAATTTGAAAGGTAAATGAGAGTAAATTTGGAAAATAAAATTTGTGAGAATTAGTATAGAATTGTACTTGACGTGACAAATTAAAAAAAATTATTTCCAAATTCACTCTCATTTACCTCCAAATTCACTCAAATAAACGACAAAAAAAAAATTATATTCAAATCCTCTCAAATTCACTCCGTCAAATCCACTCAAAAAAACAAGACTTAAAGAAATCAATGTATAATTGTCTACGCTATACTAATCAACAAGTTTCAATCTAATTGAATCATGTAATTTTTTTTCTTATTATACATACGTCAAAAGCACTTTGTTTACAAACACAGCCCAAATTGATGATATGCCTCAAAAGAAATTAATTGTATCATCGCTGAAAATAAAAAAACAAAAATACATTTTCCGGTACCACTAAATATTTTTATCTCATAATCTACTATTAAACTTTTTATTAAGTACTTCATCTCTGTAAAATTTTAAATTAACTCGATTTTCAACATTAAACTGTAAACTTTTATTAGAAACAAATAACTATAAACTACACGATCATTTGTCTTGTATAGAAAAAACATAAGTAAGACCTTATAAGTGGAACAAACAAACCACAAGGAAGCATAAAGGAAACCAGTAAAAAAAAAAGCCAAC